CATGTACATATGCTAATATGTCAAGCTTGATATCATATGCTATGGCCATATTTTGGCTTCTAGATTAATGCAAATGGTGAGAAGTTGTTATTCCAGTTATCATTTCCATTGATTTACATGAGAAAAAAATTATTTTCTTAGTTGCTATAATTAATCTGCATATTCTATTTTGCACGCACGCACATACACACACAAATATATATACATATATACATATACATATACATACATACATACATACATACATACATACATACATACATACATACATACATACATACATACATACATACATACATACATACATACATACATACATACATACATACATACATACATACATACATACATACCATATATACATATATATACATATATATACATATATATATATACATATATGTACATGCATATATATACATACATCCATACATATACATACATCCATACATATAGATACATCCATACATATAGATACATCCATACATATAGATACATCCATACATATAGATACATCCATACATATAGATACATCCATACATATAGATACATCCATACATATAGATACATCCATACATATAGATACATCCATACATATAGATACATCCATACATATAGATACATCCATACATATAGATACATCCATACATAATATATATATATATATATATAGATAGATAGATAGTCATTTTCTTTTTCCGTGGTGGGGGACGTCATTTACTTTCTAAGGCAGATAGCTGCTGGATGATTTATTCTGTTATTTTATTTTGTAGTTTATCGGGACACCACATTGGATGGCACCAGAAGTTATTCAAGAAAGTCGCTATGATGGAAAGGTTGGTTGCTGCATTGTTTTCTTTCTTGTGTTGTACCTGTGCTAATAAACCTCTTATTTGTTGCGACAATAAGATGTTGGAATCTTTATGCTATTGTCATAGTTGCTATTGCATTTTTGTTTCAATATTTTGACAATGGTTATTTCTCTTCAAGTATAATGGTAAAATTCTGCTTTATAGAAAAAATGGAGATTCTTGAAACCAAGCTTAATTTTACACGCTGTTTTTTTAAACTTTTTTAGTAGATTATCTGTTTTTCTTCATTGATAGACAATACGGAATGTCAGCTCTAATTTCTGAAACCTCTCAGCAGGATTTTGTAATCCAAGGTTGTATACATGTGTTCACAGAAGTGTATTTTCTTGTATATATACTGGAATTCTCTAAGATGTTTAATGGAGCGAAACTTGATTTAAATCAAAGCCTTGATGAATTTGATGTCATCTTTGCGCATTAATAAGCAGTCTTTATTTCTCCACACTTCAGTTTTATGAATACTTGTCCGTCTGCAGTAGTGATGGTGTTGATGGTTGGATCCTTGTTCTTTGCAGGGATTCTTCTTTTATTCATTGCTTATTTTAGTCATAAATTTTAGACCATGAACCCATTACTGTCTTTCAAACGTGTATAATCCTTTAGTTTTGCCATCCTACCCATGTAGTTTATTGTGTTATGCTATACATGAATGATTTTTATGGTTTTCTTTAAACCTTTCAGGTAGATGTGTGGGCGCTTGGTGTTTCTGCGATTGAAATGGCAGAGGTTCGAATTCTGTTCATTTGACTACATTTTTTTTTTTGCATGAATTTTGAAGTTGCCTGTTCCGCTTTAGTTTCTTTCTTCCGTGCCAATATTGCATAATGATATCCTCAGTTAATAAAACTTTATTTGTTATCAATCCCAGAGACTTCCGCCCCGATCCTCTGTGCATCCGATGAGAGTACTTACTCTTAACCTCTTGCCTGTTTTTTTTTCCTGTTATGTTCTGTGATGTATCAATTATATTATTATATGTTCTAACTATCTGTTGATTCAGCCACTTATCTGTCTCTCATTAAATATTTGCAATCTACCTAGTGCTTTTTGCTTTCCTGATGGGAGCAATTAGGTTCATTATCATTTACAGCTTTTCATTGTTTCCTTTGTGATTATGTAGAAGAGAGCTTTTATCTAGATTTTCTTTGAACATTGATAAATGCTTTTAGGCATTTTAATGCAACAAAAGATGTGATTTTTAGGTTATTTCGCGAGTTATTTCAAGTTTTTTTTTAAACTTAATTTTTTTGGATGTATTTTAATTACAATTAACGTTAGTTGTATTTTTTTTTTAAATTTTCGGGGAAAGGTGAGCCCAAAGGGCCATATGCGCGATTCAAACCCGCAATCTTCTAGTGGGAAATTATACCCTTAACCACTAAGTTGCGGGTGAGTATGCAACATTGTTGATCTCATTTCTGGATGAGGTCTTTTTTGTCTCTCCTTAGAGCCTAGGGTCTAGCTTTAGGCTTTCCCCCGTTCGACTCTCTTAGAAAACTAGTACGGAACCCAAACTATTTAGAAAATTCGAACCACCTCGTCACTCCTTCGAGTTTCGCATGGGCGGTCCCAAATCATCGGTATTCCATTGAGTTGATTAAGATCGACACATGAAACTCGAGTCGAGTTCCTACATTAATAGGAGCAGCCCCTAGGAAACCCCTTGGCGTCCCGAACACTCGATAACGCCGCATTTTGCGCACGCATCGCACCCCATACGATTTTGACTTAAATTGACTCAACCGTCGGTAAACTCTTTCGGACGACCCAGATGACGAAACGGACAGCGCCGACGCGTCCGGAACGTCGATTTTAGCTAGAAAAGACACCCATATTGCTGTGGTTTCACTCTAGCGAACTGCACGAAATCGATGCATGTTTCATTTAATTAGCGGGGCACGGGTTCGGGTTCGGGTTCAACCCAGACTCAATTCAAGCTCGACTGAACACAAGCCAGGATTAATTCAAATTTTAAACTTAAAATTTAAATCTTACCGCCTAATCCCATCTTAATTAGATTTGATTAGGGGTTAATATTTACCTAACATAACTGCCCCTGTATGGAATGCATTCAATAGCCCGCTCGATGCACCTGTAACGGCTATTGATCCCGCTGTCTATTTCTTTCCCCCGCTCGAGGCTCTCGCCTAGTCTTCCTCTGCCTTTCCAGAACGCCTGCACTTGCTTCTGCTCGATCTCGCTTGACAGAGACCCTCGCCTCCCTGCTAGCACTCGCCTGCTCTCCTCTCTCGTGCGCGACAGCAGAGCCACTCGATCTCGTCCCCCGCACGATCGCCTGCTCCTACTCGAACATGACAGAAGAGCCGCTCGATCCCGTCTCTCGCACCGAAGCCATCTCCGCTCGATCCCGCTCGACGCCTTCGTCTGCTCCTACCCGCTCGACGCCTTCGCCTGTGACTCTCGACCCCGCCACCTGCTATGACTCTCCTCTGCTCGGTGGAAACTCTTCTGCTCAACTCTTTCTCGCCAGTTCAGGAAGCGTTTTTTTTTACTCCGATCAAGGTCGTATTTTTCTAACTCTTTTACTTTACCCGATTCTATCAGTTTTCTCGTCTCTTGCAAAGCTTCTATGACTTATTCCATTAATTGAAGTGCCTGAATTTAAGATTTGCTTATTTCTTTTACATTGGTCTTTTTCTTTACCATGAGATATAAGGATTGAATTACTTAAGCCAATATCATGAATCCCTCTACACTTGCCCATATGCAGATTTTATAGTTTCTTTTAGCTCACCATTTTGCTTGGCTCCCTATGCTGGAAATTATAGATTATCCTTTATGAAGACTTCCATATATATTATACATCATTGCATATTTATTTAACACCTAAATCTTTGGTTTTAGAATGGAAACACCTTTTTTTTGTTTTATGAGAAGGATGTCTTCGCATGCTTAAAGATTTACACATTGATTTTGGGCGTCTTGTGAGCTTGTTTTGGGGGCTTGATTTTGTTCCATGTTGCTGCCCCCAATATTTGAAATGCATGTTGAATGTGATATTTGATTTTTGGAGGCCTTTTGAGCTTGTTTTGGGGACTTGATTTTGTTCCATGTTGCTGCCCCCAATCTTTGAAATGCATGCTGAATGTAATATTTGTTTTTTTTTGGGAAGCCTTTTTGAATTCGTTTTGGAGGCTCGATTTTGTTCCCGGTTGCTGTCTAGTATTTGGAAACTGCTGTAGGTGAATGGGAAAGTGCTATCTCGCGTTTAGAAATGCTGTAGGAAGCAGTTTGGGCCTTGGAAAGTGCTGTCCAGCGTTTGGAGAGCCTGTAGGAAGCTGTAGGAGAGCTGGGAGAAGGGCTTAGTTGCTGTTTGAAACATTTGGAGGTCATATAGTTGCTGTTTAGAATGTTTGGAGGTCATTTAAGAACTGTTAGGAGTGTTTGGAGGCCGTAGGAGTGCTGTTGGAGCCTTAGGAGTGCTGTTGGAAACTTAGAAAGCCTTGGGAGCGCTGCTTGGGCTTTAAATTTGTTGTTTGGGAGCTGTTTGAGATGTAAGGCTGCTGTCCATTGCTAATTAAGGGCTGTTAGGAGTGTTTGAAAGCTGTAGGAGGTCGTAGGACCGCTGTCCAATGCTTCTAGTTGCTGCCCAGTGTCACAGAAAGGTCGTAGGACCACTGTCCAATGCTTCTAGTTGCTGCCCAGTGTCATAGGAAGACTGTAGAGTGTTGTCCAATGTTTCTAGGCGCTGCCTAGCGTCGTAGGAAGTTGTAGGACCGCTGTCCAATGCCTCTATTTGCTACCGAATGTCGTAGGAATCCACCTAGTAGCTGTCCACCATCGTTTGGAAGCCACCTAGTAGCTGTCCGCTATCGTTTGGAAGCCATCTAGTTGCTGCCCACCTCTGTTCAGGTTCGTAGGAAGCCGCATGGGTGCTGCCCATTGCTATTCGAAATTCCTAGCTGCTGTTCGGAGTCGTGGGATCACCTTACACATTCGCTAGTTGCTTACCGGAGCCGTAGGAGATGATAAGATCACCGTATTAGCTCGCTAGTTGCAGTAAGGAGTTGTAGGAGACCTTAGAATCACCTGTTTGGAGTTCTTAACTGCTACTACAACTTGTTCTACTGTTTACTGTTTTCAAACTTTTCTCTGTAATTTATTTAAATTCCCTGCAAATTATATTGTGCTTTGTGAGTTAAATATGCAATAGGAATAACAGCAGCAGATACGTCACGTATGCAGACATATTTTATTTGTTGTTGTTTCTTTATTGCAATTACTCTTGCTCTAACGCATTATGCAGGTACTGAATACAATCTCACTTTCAAAACAAAACAATTTTTTTAAAATTAAACAACTATTTCAAAAATGAAAAAAAAAAAACATAACACGTTCTTTCAAACTTACAGGAGTCCCTCGGAGGAGGTAACCCACAGTTGCTAATGAGATCTCCCCGGTTTAAATGTGTTTCACAACTAGTTTAAACTAGGTAAGTTCAAAAGAAAATAGTGATACCGGAACGACTGTTGTATCTGGTCCCTGCAATAAGGACCGCACTTTTGCACAACCAGCTGGTGTTACTAGCTTGCTGCCCCCAATATTTGAAATGCATGTTGAATGTGATATTTGATTTTTGGAGGCCTTTTGAGCTTGTTTTGGGGACTTGATTTTGTTCCATGTTGCTGCCCCCAATCTTTGAAATGCATGCTGAATGTAATATTTGTTTTTTTTTGGGAAGCCTTTTTGAATTCGTTTTGGAGGCTCGATTTTGTTCCCGGTTGCTGTCTAGTATTTGGAAACTGCTGTAGGTGAATGGGAAAGTGCTATCTCGCGTTTAGAAATGCTGTAGGAAGCAGTTTGGGCCTTGGAAAGTGCTGTCCAGCGTTTGGAGAGCCTGTAGGAAGCTGTAGGAGAGCTGGGAGAAGGGCTTAGTTGCTGTTTGAAACATTTGGAGGTCATATAGTTGCTGTTTAGAATGTTTGGAGGTCATTTAAGAACTGTTAGGAGTGTTTGGAGGCCGTAGGAGTGCTGTTGGAGCCTTAGGAGTGCTGTTGGAAACTTAGAAAGCCTTGGGAGCGCTGCTTGGGCTTTAAATTTGTTGTTTGGGAGCTGTGTCCAATGCCTCTATTTGCTACCGAATGTCGTAGGAATCCACCTAGTAGCTGTCCACCATCGTTTGGAAGCCACCTAGTAGCTGTCCGCTATCGTTTGGAAGCCATCTAGTTGCTGCCCACCTCTGTTCAGGTTCGTAGGAAGCCGCATGGGTGCTGCCCATTGTTGTTTGGGTTCATAGGAACTCATACAGGCGTTATTCGAAATTCCTAGGTGTTGTCCGGAGCGGAGCCGTAGGAGATGATAAGATCACCGTATTAGCTCGCTAGTTGCAGTAAGGAGTTGTAGGAGACCTTAGAATCACCTGTTTGGAGTTCTTAACTGCTACTACAACTTGTTCTACTGTTTACTGTTTTCAAACTTTTCTCTGTAATTTATTTAAATTCCCTGCAAATTATATTGTGCTTTGTGAGTTAAATATGCAATAGGAATAACAGCAGCAGATACGTCACGTATGCAGACATATTTTATTTGTTGTTGTTTCTTTATTGCAATTACTCTTGCTCTAACGCATTATGCAGGTACTGAATACAATCTCACTTTCAAAACAAAACAATTTTTTTAAAATTAAACAACTATTTCAAAAATGAAAAAAAAAAAACATAACACGTTCTTTCAAACTTACAGGAGTCCCTCGGAGGAGGTAACCCACAGTTGCTAATGAGATCTCCCCGGTTTAAATGTGTTTCACAACTAGTTTAAACTAGGTAAGTTCAAAAGAAAATAGTGATACCGGAACGACTGTTGTATCTGGTCCCTGCAATAAGGACCGCACTTTTGCACAACCAGCTGGTGTTACTAGCGGGACATCCCACCTTGAAACATCGA